GAACTGCTAAGGACCAGATGATCTTTATTATGTCCTGATACGTAAAACCATAGAGCTCAAAGAGGGTGTCCTTTCTTTTTCACACAACTCTAGGTTCATTCCTGTTATGAAACTCCAGGTTTATTCCCTGAACCATAGTTAAACAAAATGTGGCTTGGCAAGATGTATCAATCCAGTGAAATAATCTTACTTGGGCAAGAGCATGTTACTTATGCCTTTATTGCTAGAAATGATGTCGGGTGTGGTACTAGGAAGAGAAGAAGGTACTTCGTTTGTTTTCCTTTTTCTTCCTGCTCACTTGTACAGCAGAGGAGTTCACAGGGAGGGGCTCAAAAAGTCAAGAAGGCAGCCAGAACCATGTGATTAAAGCCCCACCTGTAGAGGTCTTTTTAAACTCAAGTCTTGCATTTCCCCAGACAATAATCTCTCCTGTCCTCTTTCAGGAGATCTGCTTTCTGAGACTTGACTGGATAATTCGCTCCTTCCCCTCTCTGCATCTTCCACATTCCCCCCTCCCATGATTCACTCTGTACATTTCAGATGTTGTATCCTAATTTAACCTGTGTCCTGTGCACTAGGGAGTCTCTTGAATAGGCTGCTCTCCCTTTCTGATTCTCTTCCAAATTGAAAAGAGCTTGAACATGGGAGTTTGCTAGTCCTGGGAATGATTGTTGGTAAATATATTTTGGTTGAATGGTGGGAGCTGGAGGCACGGTTAAAATGTGTAATTTGTGTAGCCTTTGGAGTTAGGTTTATTTAAAATGGTTATTTTGAGACATTTCAGGGTACATGCTGTATTTATAGAGCAGGAGGATATAAGTAAATTACATGCTATCTCTGCAGATTCATCAAGAAAGTAACAGCTTACTGAGCAAATTGATAAAGCAATCTTATCACGGAAAGATGGAGACAGTTTCTCTCGATGGAGATTCTCCCATTCAAATGCTTCTAGAAATAGGCGTGGATAAAATGAAGAGAGATTATATCAGCTATTTTGTGGGTATGTTGTGGCCCATCCATCTTGACTTTGGGTAGTTGTGTCCAAACGATTTATCTTTTCCATGTAAAAAACAGATACTAGCATCTCGTCAACTAACAGCTTTGGTGAGCAAATTGCTTATCAGATGTCGGACTGTATTGATTTAATTTACAAACTAACAAGTAGTGACGTTTTCTGAACAAGTGTCTGACATTGCTGGATCCCTGCCCCACAGTCATTTTCCCCTGCCAACCTCTGAACCATGGAAGGCAAAACTCTGGAACTGTCTGCTAGTTCCAGTTTTTATTTCAGTTTTTCAGATGGCCTCAGTAGAGCAAACATGGAGGCAAATGTCATTCTATCTAGCTTCCGGTCTTCTAATGTTTTAATAAATAAATCAAGGCTGTCCTTGCAGCTTTTTACATTTGTCTTGTATGAAATTGTGATACGAATTACGCTTGTGTTTCAGGCAAAGAGTTTGCAATACGCACTCATTTGGTAAGTCATATTCCCCACTTCCCAAATAATATTATACCTGAGAGTTGAATAGCAACAAATGTCTTTCGTGTGGAGGGCTTTGGGGAGATTCTTCCTGGTTTTCTGCAGCTGAGACTGTGTCTACATATTGTTATTTAATCAGTACTTAGGAAGGTGAGCATCTGTTTATGATTCAGGATGCTGTCAATAGCTCCTGACGCTTGTTCTCTGTAATCTCTTTCAAAGGACTATTTCATGTCTACTTCAGTAGATCTGCAGGAACAGGTTCATCGTATTCAGAAACTACACCATATGTTGGAAATTGTGGACAACTGCGTAGATCTTCTTAAACTGGAACATGAGAACCTCATCTTTTTGACACAGTAATTGCTTGCCAGCCAATTCCTCTTAAGGGGCAGGAATAAGAGGTTTCCCTTGAATAAATGTGATGTTTGGGGTGGTTTTGCTTCGCATAGTTGTGCAAGACGTGTGCAGCTTCTGCACCTCTTTCTGCATTGAGAGAAGGAGGGCTAAAAGAATATTTACAGCAGTATGGGGAAGATACATGAATTGATAGTTACTGAATTATTTTGAGCCTTTAGGAGTGGCATTTAATTCTTACCTTGATTTTCAATTCCTTTCTTTTTATTAAAGAAATCAAGGGCCAGGGAAGAAACTTTAGTCTTCCTATTATATCCCCTAGAGTCGCAGCACAGCTTTTTTTGAAGAGAGAGTTCTCCCTGATGTGCTACTTAAAGACCATCTCCAAGAAGTATTGGGTGGGGAATATATTTTGAAACTGAAAGTCTGAATGTGAGATCCATTTTCTTCAAGTGTTTAAAGCTCAAAACGGCCCCTGAAAATGAGGACTTTCAAGCTTAAAAGATTTCTGGAATTGTCAGAACAAACATTTCAAGTCTTGCGCATCCCTCTTTCTTACCAAAGTGAAAATTGAATCTGATAGAACAAACTGTATTCATTGTGACTGGAAAGTGATCGTATATATTTATTTGGTTTCATATAAATATGTAAAATGAAATCAGCTTTAGTTTTTGACCTAGCTCTGCCCACTGGTTTTGATCTGCTTACTCTTGGGCTCATATAGGATTCATTGGAGTAAGGAGTTCTCAGCTTGGATATAGTTAGTGTCTTTTGCTTCTTTTTATTCACTTCAGTTCAGGTGTCTTCTCCTTCCTGGAGGCTGAGGACCATGAGTCTCCACTGTGTTCACTTCTGTGCTATTTTTGCACATTCTTCATAATACAGTGGTACCTTGGTTCACGAACTTAATTCGTTCCACGATTCTGGTCGCGAACCGAATCAAATTTCCCTATAAGGTTCAATGTAAATAAGGTTAATCCGTTCTGAA